GGAGCGCCGGGTCCGGCCCGGGCTCGGCCCGCCGTGCCTTCTTGCTGCTCTTCTTAGCCGCTTTGCGGCCCCTGCTGGCGTTGAAGGCGATGCGGGCGAGGGCCCGGCCGAGAGGCTCCGCCTGGTCCCGCTGCACTTGCCGGGTGCTGCCGTCGCCCACCGCGAAGGAGACGCTGAGCTTCGGCTCGGACGGGACGCAGCGCACCACGGCCCGCTCCATGGCGGGAAGCGTCACGCCTGCCAGTGCCCCGTCCCCGTTCAGCCCCTTCCTGGTCCTCCGCAGCCCCGGAAGGGCTCGCAACGTTCCCCAGAGCCAGCGCCACATGAACCCGCCGCCGCCGCCGCCGTCAGGTCTCCGCCACCATTCAATCCTTCAATCCCGCCTCCCTCTCCGCTCTTCTTCCGCGGGCAGGCGGCGGTCCGGAGCCACTTTGCCGGCACCGCCCCGCAAAGGCCGATGGGAGACGCCGCGGCGGCGAGAAAAGGAACGCGGGGCCTGCTGGGAAATGAGGGCCTCTCCTTCCTCCGGAGGCGGGAGCATAGAGACAAGAAATAACTCGAGAAGGGGAAAGGTGATGGTTTGGAACGCAAAAGTAACCGGAAGTTGTTTAGGACGGCCGGAAGTCCTAAGTCATTCATCCGACTCACTATTGTTTGCGGGGAAAATACTGAGCAAATTGGGCGTGTACATATAAGCATTTTTTTTCCAAAACAGATCAGGAAGCCGAGGTGATTAGGTTTCCCAATCACAGGAGCCGTGTGAGCACCTTAAGTCAAAAAAGGCATCAGGCTAACTGCACAAAAGACTTTGGAGGGTATGGCAACGTGGGAGGACGGGACTAATGGACCCGCCTCTACCCAAATCAAGACATTTAAGCCAGTGGTTCTTAACCTTGGGTTACTCAGGTGTTTTTGAACTGCAACTCCCAGAAACCCTGGCCAGCACAGCTAGTGGTGAAGGCTTGTGGGAGTTGCAGTCCAAAAACACCTGAGTAATCCAAGGTTAAGAACCACTGATTTAAGCAACTAGTTGCTTTTAAGAGCAATGCCTGAATTAGCAGGCATGCATGAAGCGGTACATTAAAGGACTAAAAAACAAATGGACATGTACGGGACGGGTGACACGTGGCTTGAAAGTTGTAAACTGAAAAGGATCGAGGGGGTCTTTGTAAACTGCAAGCTGAACACAAGTTAACAATACAGAAAAAAGATAATGCCGTTCTAGGTTGTATGAATAGAAACGTAATATCCGGATTAAGGGAAGTAGCAGTTGCACTCTGTCCAATTCTGGGCACCATAATTTAAGAGGGATAGAAAGTAGCCGGAACACGTCTAGAGGAGGACAACCAAGATGGTAATAAAAGGTCTGGAAACGAAACTTTATCTGCAGTAGGAATTAGGTAAATTTAATTTGAAGCAAAGACTTGAGAGGTAATACGACAGACCTTTTCAAATATCTGATCAAATGGAGGACGGAGCAAGTTTGTTTTCTGTGGTTTCAGAGTATAGATTCAAATTGGGAAGAAGAAGCTTCTGACGAAACATTAGGAAGAACTGTGTGTGTTCTGTGCCATCGAGTCAGAACTGACTCATACTAGAGTTTGGAGGATGGAGCAAGTTTGTTTTCTGTGGTTTCAGAGCATAGATTCAAATTGGGAAGAAGAAGCTTCTGACAAAACATTAGGAATAACTGTGTGTGTTCTGTGCCATCAAGTCAGAACTGACTCATACTAGGGTCCGCAAGGTGAGAAATTTAAGGAGTGGTTTTACCAATCCGTTCCCCCAGTGAATTTCTGTGGCGAAGTGGGGATTCGAAACCAGTTTCCATCACTCTATCCACACCACCACACTGGAAATCCCTTGAGGAAGAACTACTTGACAATTAAAACAAAACAAAACAGCGCGGTGTGGTGAATACAGTGGGATCCAGGAGTTCAACTTCATCCACACCACCACACTGGAAATCCCTTGAAGAACTACTTGACAATAAAAAAAACAAAACAAAACAAAACAGCGCGGTGTGTTGAATACAGTGGGATCCAGGAGTTCAATTTCCTGCTTGGTTATGGAGACTTACTGGGGGATGCTACTGATAAAACCATCCCTTAAAATATCTCACACAGTTTGGAAATCCCACTAGGGTCACACACCACAACTGGGAAGCACACAGCATGTTGATAAGAGCCGTTCGGCAGGGGACCGTTCCCCTTCAGGCGGCGCTGGACTATCGTTCAGTGGAGAAGGGATGCTTGAATCGTCGCTTTCCTCCACCCGGGAGTTGGGCTCGCCGCGACCCTGGAGGTCCCTTCCTGGCCTGCTGTTACTCCACGCGCAGCGAGCGCTTCCACCGGGAAGCACGGCTTTGTCTGCAGCGTGCCCCTGGGAGTCGCAACACAAGCCGACGCTGCCGGCCTTTGGCACCGCCATTTGGGGCAGCAGCAGCAGCAGCGGCTCCCTTCAGCCAGTCATCTTCCCACAGGGGATGATGCCTGCGCTGCGCCGCGCCCCACCAGCGCCCGCCCCCAGGCTTCGCCCGCTCTCCTCGCCCCTACGTCGAGCCCCGCCTCCTCTTTGCGCGGGACGGTGCCGTTCGTCGCCGGATGGCCGGCCGGCTCGCAAAGCAACCTGGGAGAACTGCCCGTGGCCATAGCAACCAGCGCGTCGTGGATTCCGCGAGTGAGCCGAGGAGTCTGCAATTCCCGGGGAGCGTCTTGGCGGCCTCGTGGCTTTTCTCCGTTTCAACCCTGCCGAGTTTTGTCCTCTCCGGAGCGAAGGCTGAGGTATTAACGGGGGTAAAAAAAAAAGGCAGCGTTTAGGGGCTCAGGTGTGGAAATGCCGCGGGGGTCCTCGAGGAGCGTTTTGGATCCGAGTGCTTTTCCTTACTCTGACCATTTGAAACGCTTTGCTCCGGTTTGTTTGTTATTGTAGATGTCAGCTCCAGGTAAATCATCAGACTTCCCCGAGGATGAGGATGAGGATGCATGGAACATCCGTTTGCCACCGATCGCTTTGCCCTCCACATCCAAGGGTTTGACCGAAAGACAGAAAAAACTGATGAAGTACCGAAGAGTCAAAGAACAGCAAAAGATGCTTAATAAAATCATGTAAGATACCATTATCGTGCTTTCTCTCACTCTCTTATATGTTATATTTTGGTGACATTAGGGAAGATAGTGGTTCTAGCCACAGTATATTCTGTCAAAGTGGAAACTTCAGAAAGTACTGTACCGTGGCACTCACCGGCCTTTTCCCATGTGTGTGTGTTTAGTCGTTTAGTCGTGTCTGACTCTTCGTGACCCCATGGACCAGAGCACGCCAGGTGCTCTCTCTCGCTCTCATATATGTTATGTTTTGGTGACATTAGGGAAGATAGTGGTTCTAGCCGCAGTATATTCTGTCAAAATGGAAACTTCAGAAATTATTGTACCGTGGCGCTCACCGGCCTTTTCCCATCCCACTGTTCAAAACGGCCACTAGATGGCTGAAGGGAGCTTTCAAAAGTCTAAAATATTTGTCTTTAAATAATGTTTTTTGGGGGGAGGTGAGGCACAGGAGTCAAGAGAAAAGGCATGAGCAGGCTTCGGACCCGTGGAAGCTGCTCACCTCTGATTTGGGATTGTGCAAACCTCCCCCTCCCGTACAACTAGTCTTCTCTGTTTTGATACAAACATCTTTTCCTTCATGGATTGCTGCCTTGTCGTGGCGAAGGGGCTTGAGTAACTCAGAGAAGCTATGGGCTATGCCGTGCAGGGACACCCAAGACGGACAGGACATAGTGGAGAGTTCCAACTAAACGCAATCCACCTGGAGTAGGAAATGGCAATGCCACTCCAGTATCTTTGCCAAGAACGCCCCATGATCAGAAACAAAAGGCCTTTTCCCATCCCACTGTTCAAAATGGCCACTAGATGGCTGAAGGGAGCTTTCAAAAGTCTAAAATATTTGTCTTTAAATAATGTTTTTTGGGGGGAGGTGAGGCACAGGAGTCAAGAGAAAAGGCATGAGCAGGCTTCGGACCCGTGGAAGCTGCTCACCTCTGATTTGGGATTGTGCAAACCTCCCCCTCCCGTACAACTAGTCTTCTCTGTTTTGATACAAACAATACAGTACCAGATTATGTATATGCATGTCTACCTACAAGTATAAGGAACTAGATTATCCCGGAACTAAGCTTCAGCAGTGAATTTTGAGTTTCCAAAATGCTAGACAACCTGAGTAAAACATTAAATTAAACATACTCGGAGGAAAACTGCTGGATTGCTCAGTGGTTAATGTATCTGTTTTGGAGTTTGATTCCCCACTGTGCCTTGCTGAAAGAGGCTAGAGTTGATGAATCACAGGGTCCCATTCAGCTCTGCAGTTCTAAGATGATGACAATGATTCCAAAGGCTGTGTCAGTGCCACAGTTCTCTCTATATGGGAAATTAAATTACTGTAAATGGAAGAGGAGAAGGCTGTTGTTTAGGCTGGTCTACACAACTGCGTGAACACATCCCCAGCCTTGATAGAGCCATTTGGCTCTAGCGAGTCATTCGCAGGCACCTCCTCTTGCATTTTAAAGGATGGGTACCTGCTGATGATCATTGAATCTGCATGCCCATTTTGCTTTCAGAGAGAACAGTTTACTGGGATTCACTACCTTAAAGCCTTGATGGTTTCATTCTGACAGATATGTCCAGCTGTACATGGTGGGCACATACACACACAGTTCATCTAGCCAACCAAAATAAGGTCCTGAATTTAAAAGAAGTGGAATAAAAATGCAAATGTGGCTGCTGGTACAGTGTGTGGCTATGCCACAATTTGAGTAGATAGCTAATGACTGAGTAATAAGCAGCCTCTTTGATGGAGGAGAGGAACATTGCCACCTTGTTTCTATGTTAAAACAGCAAATGGAGATCAGTGCGTATTAAGGCAGCAATCTTGGAAGGCAGCAGATGAAAGATCCTCTTTTTCTGGAGTATCTTCTATTTTTTCAAATTATTATTAGTAACATTTTCACATTATCTTCTTCAAAAATACCAGGCACAGTCAATCAAAATTATAAAAACATTAGCTGGTATTACATAACAGATACAAGTTTTAACAAAAAACCTTATTATCTGTTAAATATCAATGTCATATATATGCTGTTCCTAATATTGCTGTTTTTTGTAGCTCTGATGATATTATTTCTGGAATCTGCAACTGCTTATAATACTGTGTGAAATTTCTTGATATGATGTTTTTCTCAAAGCCCCAATGATGATGGGGGCCGCTGACGTACAGTATGTTTCATGCACAAGCGATGTGTTTTGATTGGCAGATCTCTGTAGTTTGTCAACTCTTCCAATTGTTTATTTTCAACTCTGGCACCCCCTGGAACTGCAATGTCAATGATCCAGACATTTCTTTCTTCTGTTACTACTATATCTGGTGTGTTATGTTCAGGGTGTCTTATCAGTTTGGATCCGGAAATTTCACAAGATCTTCACCACCACCACCACCACTACTATTTCTAAAATACCAGATACAGTCAATCAAATTTATGAAAACATATCACAGTGTGAAATTGCTTGATATTGTTCCCAAAGCCCCAATGGCTATCGGGACCACTGTTTCATCTACAAGCAAGATGTTTCAGTTGTTAGTTTTTCCAACTCTTTATCTTCAACTCGAGTATCCCCTGCAATTGCAATGTCAATGATCCAGATATTTCTTCATTCTGTTACCCTGTTTCCCTGAAAATAAGACCTAACCTGAAAATAAGCCCTAGTATGATTTTTCAGGATGTTCGTAATATAAGCCCTACCCCTAATATTATTATTATTATTATTATTATTATTATTATTATTATTATTATTATTATTATTATTATTATTATTATTATTATTATTATTATTATTATTATTATTATTATTATTATTCACATTTTATCTGTACTTTTTGCTGCAGAGTTAATGCAGCCACTAAAGAATACAAAGATACCATTGAAGAATTTGCTAGAAGAGAAAGCCCACCTCCTATTCCACAGCTGCCTTATACTGTAAGTTTCTAATATATTTATATATTTGTAAGTTTACAGTTCTAGTTGTCCCTGTGTATATTATTTGGGTGGTTTATTATTCACATTTTATCTGTACTTTTTGCTGCAGAGTTAATGCAGCCACTAAAGAATACAAAGATACCATTGAAGAATTTGCTAGAAGAGAAAGCCCACCTCCTATTCCACAGCTGCCTTATACTGTAAGTTTCTAATATATTTATATATTTGTAAGTTTACAGTTCTAGTTGTCCCTGTGTATATTATTTGGGTGGTTGGGCAAGCAAGCAGTAAAGTTTCTGGCTTCTCAGTATTGCTTTTTGCCTTGTGTGTATACTGGGCTGTGAAAATTGCCAGTATCTCTCTAGAGTCTATGGAATAGCATGAGGTTCTGCAAGATATTGCTGTTACATTTTTCTTATTGTTATAATACCTTCTGCTGAAGTTACTATAGTCAGACCCACTGTAATTTCAAGGCACTATTGGCTACTTCTGTTGCTTCTAGAATGATTCTTCAATTCAGAGAAGTGTCCCTTCAATCAGAAGGTACTTGAAGAAGTGAATTATAATCCACAAAAACTCACACTAAAACAAATGTGTCAATCAAAAGGTGCCCAAACCCCTTTTTTATTTTTGTCTGCAATCTACAGCATTTTCCTAGCAAAACTCTATATATGTTGCTTTCCTGAACAGATTAATCCTTTTGTTCTTGGAAATTTCCTTTTGTCTTGCAGAACTTTATTATCTAAACGATGCATACTAAAGCAACAATGTGAAACAACAGAGTATTCACTTGTACAATTAATGTAAACTATGCAATTAACATAGACTCCTAGCACTTTGAATAGTTTCATTGCTATCAACTGTGTAGCTAAAATGCACGCATGTTTCAGGAAGACTATTTAACACTCAAAGTCTGGGATTATAAACAACTAGCTATTCAGTGGTGTGGCGAAAAGATGGAAGGTAAACCTTTATTAATAACTAGTGTAGGTCATAATGGAGGCAGAGAATGTCTCAGTTAACTTGGAGCAATGATGCAGTTACTGTTTACTAGTAGCCCCCACTGGCATCAACAGCCCATATCACTGTTGGGTATTCTGGCCAGTCGGTAAGTGCACACTGGCATGGTGCTAACTTTAACGACCCTCCTACCGTGAGTTATCAGTAAAATATACACTTTTATTTCCCTACCCCAATCACTATGAGTCACATCAAGAAATGCTCTCATGGACCGTCATGTCATACAAATCGTGGATTTTCATTTGATTTTTGTAACTTTAATTTTTGTTGTGCTTTTTCAACAGATGAATAGTGAACAGAAAAAAATAAGGGTAAGTGAATCATTTTAAAGACCTATTGCATGGTTGTGAAATTATGTCTAATTCAGAGTCACTGAAATATGGCCAATATCTGTTGTTTTGCCACCCTGGGTTTTTTTAAGGAGAAATTTAAAAAATATTTTAAATAAATGAATAATTAAAATTTGTGGCATTCTGTGAGGGTTCTATTTCGGTCTCCTTTCTCCATTCAAATAAATCAAGAAATTTATGTGATTTAGAAACAGGTGTAATGTTTATTGGTGTATTTAACAAGTAACCAGTGTCTGCAAAATTAGTCCAATGTTTGTCTACTTCCAACAACGGGTCTTCCTCTCTGCCTTGCAAACCTATGAGTTGCTAGAGAATTGACTCTGGAAGATTTCTTTGTACTGCTCAAAGTGCGCAAGGGTCTTTGGTCCACAGTATCCACCCTATTGATCCCTTGCTGATGTGTCCAGGGTAGAAAGGCCTTTCACTCCACATTAAAGATTTGAGTGCTCCTGAGCTGAACACTATTGCATTGAGGAAGCAATAATGTTTAGAAGTATGTTTTACTAGTTTTGCCTTCTGCACCAGCTGTGGCCATTTTTTGAGACAACTAACGTATTCATGAGTATTTGTTAGTTACCCTGTTTCCCCGAAAATAAGACCTAACCTGAAAATAAGCCCTAGTATGATTTTCAGGATGCTCGTAATATGAACCCTACTCTACAAATAAGTCCCAGTTAAGTGAAACCCCACCCTACACCATTGTGCAGCAACCAGAAGAAGATGATATGACTGTATTTGAATAAACGTAGATGCTTGTACTTGAAAAAAATAAAAATTCCCTGAAAATAAGCCCTAATGCGGTTTTTGGAACAAAAATTAATACAGTGGTGCCTCGCTTTACGATCGCTCATTTTAACGACGAAGCCGCATTACGATGAACTTTTTGCGATCGCTTTACGTTGTTTCCTGGGGGGGAATTTCGCTTTGTGATTATCGGTTCCCTGCTACGGGAACCGATTCTTCGCAAAACAATGATTTTAGAACAGCTGATCTGCGGTTTCAAAATGGCCGCTGGGTAAACAAAATGGCCCCCTGCTGTTTTCTGGGACGGATTCCTCGCTGCACAGGCAGCAAAAATGGCCGTCCTATGGAGGATCTTCGCTGGACGGTGAGTTTTAAGCCCATCAGAACGCATTAAACAGGTTTTAATGCGTTTCTGTAGGCTTTTTTATTTCACTTTACGATGTTTTCGTTCTACACTGATTTCGCTGGAATGAATTAACGTCGTAATGTGAGGCCCCACTGTATAAGACCCTGTCTTATTTTTGGGGAAACACGGTATTTTCAGCTAGGTTTTAACACAGTCGGAATGAAGTTTCCTTCAGAAAAATAGTAGAAGCTTCAACTGATCTGAAATGCCAGACGTTTATTTATAAATGACTACAGCAAATTACTTCACATTTTTATTTTCATAGGTTACCTATTTATTCTTATACCCAATTTAAATGACTGGTTCTGCCTTTCTAAAGACCTAAATGATAACACTATCACTATCTTCTTTTTTAAACCCTACTCCCTACCCAAGTATTCTAATCAACATTAGGTTCCTGTTCTAGTTTCCCCCAGTCATATGATGCATGGTAGATACGGATAAGATCAGGACCTTAACAGTTGTGGTTTATGAACTGTGGCTCCCTCTGCCTTGAAAAACCATATTTCTTAGTCTGAAATCAGTTCAGTCATCAAGATTGTTAAGCTGACTTTTGGTATGAGTTGATTTGCTATGACCTTGTACATTGTTATTCTGTTGGGCTGGGAATTGTTGTTTGCTTGTATGTGTGTGTGTATGCATGTGAGTGACTTTTTGTGTACTAGTACTTTATGGTATTGTTACTTTGATACACTATTATTCTTGTGATTTTTTTCTTGTTCCAGTTGCTGTTTTGCAGTTGTTGTTTTAAAGTGAAAACTGAGATAGAAAATGAAAAAAATGACTGCATAAACAATGGTTGGAAAGAAGCTGTCTTTGGGAGTCAAAATTATGCAGGCTTGTATTATACAACCTGCACTCATCTGTGGGCTTAATAGTGGATTCTGTTGTCTCAACATTACTGAATGTTTAAAGAAAACATAGTGGACTTGTTTATTACTCCGATCCCTTTTGGTACAATGCAACTTTCTTCTTTATTGCTTCTCTCTTCACACAATGCAGAAGGGAACATTACATGTTTTCCAGAAATTCTGTAATTGCTGTACATTATAACTTTAGGAACAACAGTTCCACAAAGTTGTTGAAGTATATTGCCTCTGTTGTAACAGCAATGAAAAATCTGTTGTTTGATCTTCTGTAACAGGAATTAATGTATTCTGACAATAATGTCATTTCAGACCAACTATCTTTTTTTGAAGAAATGTGTTGAAAATAATCCAGTGGTACCAATTCAGCAGGAGTGGTTAACCTCAATGTTGACTTTGGTACCTCAGCATCTAATGGAAGGAAAGGGCAGAGAAAAACTAGTGGAAGAGCTGTTAGCTGAAATAACAAGTGATTATGAAAACAGCATGAAGAGATATATGGGTAAGTTAATTAGCACTGCTGTATTAAAGTTGTACCAGTTATGTTTCATATAGCTTTGTTGGTCTGTTGCAGCATATATAAGAGCAAAACAGAAAGAAATGTATTGTGAAACCTCTAAGTACTGTACAGTACTGTGATTTTAAGTGAAGATCTGGGAGTCTTAAAACTGTGATAATACTTTTTATTTGGCTTTGTTTTCATTAAAATATTCTACTTTTCTGTACAAAGTCCTACAAGAGTTTTTGGACCACATAAATCATAGTTTTCTGTTTTATAAAAATTAGTCATAGCAGATAGTTACCATATTTTTCGCTCTATACGACACACTTCTCCCCTCAAAAAAGTGGAGTGAAAAGTGTGTGCGTCTTATGGAGCGAATACACTTCTGCAAGGGCTCCCTCTGATGCCGTGGGAAAGCTCTTGGAGACCTTCCGGGGGTCAGATCGCAGCAGAGAGGGGGCCCCAGGAGTAACTATTTTCTCCACCATTTTAATTTTCTCAATGCATCCTGACCTTAAATGTCTGTATTCTTAATAATTTATATAGTACCTCATGCAAATATTCTCGTAATATTTGCAACAATATAGGAAGGTACAGCTTTACACTGACATGTCTAAACCCATTTAGTGAGTTCATAACTGAGGCAAAATGTGGACTCAGGATTTCTCAGTTCACAGTCTTCTTAGGCTCTACATTGTACTGGTTCTTGGTGGAGATTTAGTGTAAGTTTTCAAGAACAATGTATTTTGTATATTGTTTTTATTAAAAATTTATGAAAATGAAGAAATTGGAAAGGAAAAGGTATGATAATGTAAAATAGGTAACTCATTTTCAAATACCTCCTGGGGGTACTTTTTAATTTGGGGCAGTGAACCAGTTTTGAGTCCCTTGTTATTCACAGGCTGCATTGGGAGCTAAACCCCAAACATAGCAGGTGTGTTCTCACTTCCAACTGGCACTGCAGCTAAAGAAGTGGCTTTGTTCCTCCCTTGCCTTCCTCATGTAGTGGGAGGCTAAGAGGGAGTAAAGTGCATGGCAAGCATCAGCTTCAAGAGTGTTTTGCTCTGTATGCCTGCAAACTCTGGATATAGCAAACTCTGAGACTCAAGCACTGGCTTTGCAAACATTTCTGCAGCACTTAGGCCATGAGAGCGTTGTCCTCTTTCTCCAATCAAGGACACCATAATGCAAGTAAAGTTTCCCCCTGTCATCTCTATTCCAAAACTGCAGAAGCCAGTAGCAATTATCTTGCTTGCTGCTGACTTCCCCAGTTTGGAAGGTGAATAGTATATGAGGATCACCACTGTCATCTTGGATCTCTATCTGGAGAAGAAAAAATTTGGAGACTGAATCTGTTATGAATTGGGAAGGTCAGCAGAGTGGGAATATTCATGGGGGGCAAGCTTAATTAAGGAAGGGGTTTGGTGGACAGACATTGATTTGACCATTTGTAGACCAAATTATTCCTGTGGGTCACAGAGTCCTCTCCAGAATTTTAAACATTCTAACAGTCCTACTGATTCAGGAAATAATTGTGATAAAAACAGATAGTATTTATGAAGTGTTTACTTGAATCAGAGTAATTTATAATATTGTTGTGCACTTCTAATATGTTCTAGTGCGGAGTGTACTTATCAAACCTGATGTAAAACTGCTTGAATATGAAAAAGAAGAACCTTTGCCAGTTGAACCTGTGTGAGTAAATTATATTAATAAAACATTTTTGGGTCCAGTCAGCCCATCTGTTGCATGTACGCACGGTACAAAACACCTTGCTGTCTTTCTGTAGCTGTTATCGGGATGATCACTGAGTTGGTTCAAATGTTTATTTTCAGAAGAAAACATGATCCTCAGCATCTTTGAGTGTCTGCATATTTGAAGTATATTAGGCCCCCTGTATCTGTGGTGGATTGGTTTCAGGGGCCCCCATGGATGCTGAAAACTGTGCTGCTATATACAGCATAATAACAGAAAAAGAAAAAAAATCAGAAAAAAAGTGATTTCACCATGTATGACCAGAAATGGACACTAGAGGGAGTGTGAGGTTCATACCAGCTCCCGCTATTATTTGTATTAGACTCTTTGTTTTTATCAACAGGCAAGGGCTCCATTTTAATTTTAACAGGCGTATTTGAAATAACAAATAACAGTTCTATTTCTCCTTTAACAAGCTCAAGTCTAATATCTCATCTTTAGCGTTCCATAAGTCCTTTCCCACATTCTCTCTCTCTTTTTTTTTTTAGCACCAGGTTCAACCAAACAATGGTGGTTTCCGGGCTCTTTGGCCGTGTTCTGAAGGTTGTTCTTCCTAACGTTTCGCCAGTCTCTGTGGCTGGCATCTTCAGAAGACAGCACTCTGTGCTCTGGTGTAGTTGGCTTGGGAGTGGAGTATTTATGGCTGTGAGATGAGCTTTTGTCTTTTTCTGTAGATGGGTGATTAGTGTGTCTTGTTGTGGGTGTATTGTTGTGATAAGGAGAGATTATCTGTCACTGTGGTTGATGGGTGTCATTAGCTGGTCTTTTGTGTGTAGTGATTGCTGGTCCTTGTGGCTGGGGAGAGTTGGTTGACCTTTTGCACGCTTTATTTTTGAGAACTGGGAGCGCAGTTTTGTTGAGTTTCAAACTTTCCTCTTTTTGTTGAAGTTCTGCTGGAGTTTGTAGATTTCAATGGCTTCCCTTGGCAGTCTGACATAATGATTGCTGGTGTAGTCCAGTATTTCGATATTTTGAAATAGAATTTCATGTCCAGTTTGTTTTAGGGCATGTTCAGCTACTGCAAATTTTTCTGGTTGTTTTAGTCTGCAATGTCCCTGATGTTCTTTGATTCTCGCGTGGATGCTTCGTTTTGTGGTTGCAATATATATCTGGCCACAATTGCAAGGTAGCCGGTTACTCCTGCAGTGGTAAGGCGGTCCCTTCTGTCCTTTCCAAAAAACCCACAACAACCATTAGATCCCGGCCGTGAAAGCCTTCGTGAATACATTCAATCAAACAACTAATTGGCAAGAACATGCCATTGACAGGAGTGGAGAGATTAGGCACAAGCTCATAGGAATTTAAGGCTGAAACACCAAGCCCTCATTGGGTTTCCATATACCTTCTTCCTGATATCATTCTGGAATTTGGGTGGGAATTGGGTTACTACGCAACTGACCTCTTGTTAAAATCTTTCTTTCTTTCTTTCTTTCTTTCTTTCTTTCTTTCTTTCTTTCTTTCTTTCTTGCTTGCTTGCTTGCTTGCTTGCTTGCTTGCTTGCTTGCTCTCTGACATCTTTCCCCAGTATGGAGGCTTACAAACTTGTCTTTCCCTCTACTCTCTTTCAGCCAATATACTTTCAAAGGCACCCATTCCCCTGTCCAGGGCTATTATTTTATAATCTCTACTCACTCCTCTTTTAGCATATCCTTCTCCTCCTCAGCCCAGAATCCATTTACCACCAACCACAGTTCTTCTCCTTCCTTTATACCTCCCTCATTTCCTGCCAAAACAGTGCCCCTTAGTGGTCATTCTTTTCCCAGGTTTTCCACGTGCGTTCTGTTTTTTAGAAATACATTTCTTGTTTTTTTCCTCTGTCTTATCCATCAACAGTTCCTTTTCCTCTTGTGAGGTGGATAGCCCACCCTCAGTCTCTACTTATTTCTTACAAGGAGCCAGAGACCGTGTTATGTATTCCAACAACAAGAATATCTAGTATGGTCTGTGGCTCCTTCTAGTGGCCAGTTGTGGTAAATACATTGTGAAAATGAAAATTACTAGTTTTTTTCTTTTAATATTTTTAATATTCCATACTGAAAATAAATGAAATCACATATACCAATCCCACAGATACAGGGATTCTACTATATACTGTCATATGTACTTCTTTTATCCTTATTCACAGTATTTCAGTTAAAAGACTGAGGTTTTTTGGATTTTACCTTTTGAAATTACATAAACTCTATGTCATCTTAGCTCTGAGTTTAGTGAACAGTGGATACCCTTGCCTGAGATGTATGAATACCTAGATTGACAGGCAAATTGGGGTACTAAGTTCTCATTTTTAGGGGTGCCTTTAAATGTACCAATCTGATGGCAGAATTTTGTGTAATTCCTGTGATGATTTGTGTTTTTATGTGTATTAGAATGGGATATGTAGTCCTAAGATTGTCCCAATAGCATCCATCTTGATTTAAAGTCTGTTCTGTAGTAGGAAAGTTTTACATGCTGTTTCAGAGAAACTTCGCTCTCTGATTATCTCGTTGCTAAGATGAGCAGAGAGCAGAGACTTTCGTAGTCAAAATAATTCTGCCACAAAGTATGATAACAACTGAAGCTCCATGAGAAAGTTAGGCGGAACAACAAGACCCAGGAGGGGGTGTTCCTTATGAAGAATTCTGGGAAGAAGAAGAAAGTTGGTAGGGAGTTGGAAAAAGATGGAGTTGGACTGAGAAAGGTCAGACACGTGCTTTTTCCCATAATGGTTTGTAGCTTTGCTATGGACTATTTTTCCTACCATGGACTGATGAAAGTCAACTGGATTTCATCTAGCATCAGCCTATGAAGACCCAAGACCCGTGAGATGGACTGTGTTATGCTTTTTATTAGTTAGCATAATTCTATTTCTTTATTTTTCCAGCTGGAGTGGGGGAGGGGAGTATTCCGTTTGTCTTGATATGAAAATGTACCTACTGAACTATTTTACCATCAACTGAAACCTTTACTAAAGCAATTCTTTTTAATAAAGCAGTAATGATTTGATTTGCATGCATTGGTTCTTGTACAGACTAGCTGAATGTCTAATTGGCCATGTGTGTTTGCTACCAAAGATTTAGAGCCAGATTATTCTGAGTATAACTCATGGATTTGTCTGTGTG